AGACTACCTGCACTAGTAGACGATGGACACGATGCCGAACAGCAATCAGCCACCGACACCGCTCCATACATGCACCGCATTCTCTGCACGAGCAATCGGCACAATGATGCATCGGCAGAGCTCGAGGACAACATGAACGGTGGGAGTTGACGAAGAAAGGATTGCGCGCTGGTGAGGTGGTTCTGGACACACGCTATCGTCATCAGTTCTTCTGTCAGGACCAAAGCCGACTCTCCTCTCCCTCAACTTCGGTGACCGCTCGCTTCGAGGATGCACTACGTGACACCGTTTGACCCGATCGGACCAATCTGGTTTGTTGACCGGTCGGCTGATTGACCAGTCGGCTGATTGACCAGTCAGCGGATGGTGTTTGGATAGAATGGTGGGGAACAGGACGTGCACCGCAATGCACCTGGCACAAGTCGCGATGTCCATTTCGAGCGGGCACCGATAGTCGCTGTCGTTCTTGTGACTTTGCGGGTGGTGTGGCGTGTGTGTGCTAGCCACCCTTCACGTCTCTTCACACAGACGGTGTATGTGTTGGTTGCTGTCGACGATGGTGTCCTCTGACATGCACCGTGCTGCACATACAACACACGTCGACAAGTTGACATTCGCGTGCACATCCATTGGGGTTGTATTATTACTGACGCTACTCTTGCCGTACAATCTACGCTACGCATCACCGAAGACTCCGAGACATCGCCCGCCTCGGCTGTCCTCTTTGCACACGGTGCGCTCTGCTCGCTCTTCGCTGGTCTGCTCTGGTTTACAAATCACTTGCCTTTTGTAGCCTTGTCGGCGTCATCCGACTTGGCCTCTTTCGCCTTCGTCTTCGGCGCCGACGCCGGTGACGTCTTGCTCTCCTTCTCGTCCGACTTCGTATCGGCACCATCCGTCGCAGCGGCAGTCGACGATTCCTTCTTCATGGTGTTGCCATCGACACTAGCGCCAGACGCAGACTCGTAGCCGAAGTAGTCCGGGGACCCGTAGCCAGGTTGGCCGTAGCCGTAGCCAAAAGACGAGTAATAGTCCGGGTAGCCATAGCTACCATAGCCACCTCCATAGCCACCGTAGCCGACGTCACCACCGTACGACGAGTAGTAGTCCGGGTAGCCGTACCCACCATAGCCCTTGCCGTATCCCTTGCCGTATCCCTTGCCATAGCCGTAGTAGTCGTCACCACAGCCCTTGCCGTATCCCTTGCCATAGCCGTAGTAGTCATCTCCGTATCCCTTGCCATAGCCATACGAGCTCTTGTCATAGCCATATCCCTTGCCATAGCTATAGCCGTCTCCGTAGCTGTAGTAGTCGTCACCACAGCCTTTGCCATAGCCCTTTCCGTAGACGGAGTAGTCGTCACCGTAGCCTTTGCCATACCCTTTGCCATAGCTGTAGTAGTCGTCGCCGTATCCCTTGCCATAGCCGTAGTAGTCGTTGCCGGATGCTTTGCCATAGTAGTCCTTGTCGTGGCCATATCCCTTGTAGTCGTGCTTGTCGTAGCCGTAGCTGTAGTCAGCACCATAGCCCTTGTAGTCCTTTTTGCCATGGTCATAGTCCTTATGCTCGTAGTGGTCGTGCCCATAGTCGTTGTGCTTGTAGGCATCGTGACCGTAGTCGTCGTGGCCGTAGTCGTCGTGACCGTAGCTATAGTCCGACGAGGACTCCGTCGCCTTGGCGTCTTCGAGCCGACGGCGATAGTGCGAGTGACCTTTGTCGTTGTCGTGGACGTGCTTCTTGTGGTGGTCGTGCTTGTGCGAATGGTGTCCGTGCTCGTGATCCTTGTAGTCGCCGAGCTGGCGACGCGAAAGAATCCCAGTCGAAGCACCACGGGCGTCGGTAGTCTGCAGAACCGAGGCGGCGACGCACAGACTGGACACGGCGAGCAGCTTGGCGTGCATCTTGAGGATCTTGATTGGAACGCGAAGGTCAATGGGGTGTCGGGGAATCGGTGGTCGGGTGGTCGGAGGTCGATCGATCGATCTTACGGCTGTTGTGTGTGTGTGTGTGTGTGTGTGTGCCGATGCAAGAAAGCTCAAAAGTGAGAGAGCAAGAAGTTGTCCCGGATGCAGCGTGTCGAGGACGTAGACTAGCAGGTAACCTCTCAGTCAAGAGACTACCTGCACTAGTAGACGATGGACACGATGCCGAACAGCAATCAGCCACCGACACCGCTCCATACATGCACCGCATTCTCTGCACGAGCAATCGGCACAATGATGCATCGGCAGAGCTCGAGGACAACATGAACGGTGGGAGTTGACGAAGAAAGGATTGCGCGCTGGTGAGGTGGTTCTGGACACACGCTATCGTCGTCAGTTCTTCTGTCAGGACCAAAGCCGACTCTCCTCTCCCTCAACTTCGGTGACCGCTCGCTTCGAGGATGCACTACGTGACACCGTTTGACCCGATCGGACCAATCTGGTTTGTTGACCGGTCGGCTGATTGACCAGTCGGCTGATTGACCAGTCAGCGGATGGTGTTTGGATAGAATGGTGGGGAATAGGACGTGCACCGCAATGCACCTGGCACAAGTCGCGATGTCCATTTCGAGCGGGCACCGATAGTCGCTGTCGTTCTTGTGACTGTGCGGGTGGTGTGGCGTGTGTGTGCTAGCCACCCTTCACGTCTCTTCACACAGACGGTGTATGTGTTGGTTGCTGTCGACGATGGTGTCCTCTGACATGCACCGTGCTGCACATACAACACACGTCGACAAGTTGACATTCGCGTGCACATCCATTGGGGTTGTATTATTACTGACGCTACTCTTGCCGTACAATCTACGCTACGCATCACCGAAGACTCCGAGACATCGCCCGCCTCGGCTGTCCTCTTTGCACACGGTGCGCTCTGCTCGCTCTTCGCTGGTCTGCTCTGGTTTACAAATCACTTGCCTTTTGTAGCCTTGTCGGCGTCATCCGACTTGGCCTCTTTCGCCTTCGTCTTCGGCGCCGACGCCGGTGACGTCTTGCTCTCCTTCTCGTCCGACTTCGTATCGGCACCATCCGTCGCAGCGGCAGTCGACGATTCCTTCTTCATGGTGTTGCCATCGACACTAGCGCCAGACGCAGACTCGTAGCCGAAGTAGTCCGGGGACCCGTAGCCAGGTTGGCCGTAGCCGTAGCCAAAAGACGAGTAATAGTCCGGGTAGCCATAGCTACCATAGCCACCTCCATAGCCACCGTAGCCGACGTCACCACCGTACGACGAGTAGTAGTCCGGGTAGCCGTACCCACCATAGCCCTTGCCGTATCCCTTGCCGTATCCCTTGCCATAGCCGTAGTAGTCGTCACCACAGCCCTTGCCGTATCCCTTGCCATAGCCGTAGTAGTCATCTCCGTATCCCTTGCCATAGCCATACGAGCTCTTGTCATAGCCATATCCCTTGCCATAGCTATAGCCGTCTCCGTAGCTGTAGTAGTCGTCACCACAGCCTTTGCCATAGCCCTTTCCGTAGACGGAGTAGTCGTCACCGTAGCCTTTGCCATACCCTTTGCCATAGCTGTAGTAGTCGTCGCCGTATCCCTTGCCATAGCCGTAGTAGTCGTTGCCGGATGCTTTGCCATAGTAGTCCTTGTCGTGGCCATATCCCTTGTAGTCGTGCTTGTCGTAGCCGTAGCTGTAGTCAGCACCATAGCCCTTGTAGTCCTTTTTGCCATGGTCATAGTCCTTATGCTCGTAGTGGTCGTGCCCATAGTCGTTGTGCTTGTAGGCATCGTGACCGTAGTCGTCGTGGCCGTAGTCGTCGTGACCGTAGCTATAGTCCGACGAGGACTCCGTCGCCTTGGCGTCTTCGAGCCGACGGCGATAGTGCGAGTGACCTTTGTCGTTGTCGTGGACGTGCTTCTTGTGGTGGTCGTGCTTGTGCGAATGGTGTCCGTGCTCGTGATCCTTGTAGTCGCCGAGCTGGCGACGCGAAAGAATCCCAGTCGAAGCACCACGGGCGTCGGTAGTCTGCAGAACCGAGGCGGCGACGCACAGACTGGACACGGCGAGCAGCTTGGCGTGCATCTTGAGGATCTTGATTGGAACGCGAAGGTCAATGGGGTGTCGGGGAATCGGTGGTCGGGTGGTCGGAGGTCGATCGATCGATCTTACGGCTGTTGTGTGTGTGTGTGTGTGTGTGTGCCGATGCAAGAAAGCTCAAAAGTGAGAGAGCAAGAAGTTGTCCCGGATGCAGCGTGTCGAGGACGTAGACTAGCAGGTAACCTCTCAGTCAAGAGACTACCTGCACTAGTAGACGATGGACACGATGCCGAACAGCAATCAGCCACCGACACCGCTCCATACATGCACCGCATTCTCTGCACGAGCAATCGGCACAATGATGCATCGGCAGAGCTCGAGGACAACATGAACGGTGGGAGTTGACGAAGAAAGGATTGCGCGCTGGTGAGGTGGTTCTGGACACACGCTATCGCCATCAGTTCTTCTGTCAGGACCAAAGCCGACTCTCCTCTCCCTCAACTTCGGTGACCGCTCGCTTCGAGGATGCACTACGTGACACCGTTTGACCCGATCGGACCAATCTGGTTTGTTGACCGGTCGGCTGATTGACCAGTCGGCTGATTGACCAGTCAGCGGATGGTGTTTGGATAGAATGGTGGGGAACAGGACGTGCACCGCAATGCACCTGGCACAAGTCGCGATGTCCATTTCGAGCGGGCACCGATAGTCGCTGTCGTTCTTGTGACTTTGCGGGTGGTGTGGCGTGTGTGTGCTAGCCACCCTTCACGTCTCTTCACACAGACGGTGTATGTGTTGGTTGCTGTCGACGATGGTGTCCTCTGACATGCACCGTGCTGCACATACAACACACGTCGACAAGTTGACATTCGCGTGCACATCCATTGGGGTTGTATTATTACTGACGCTACTCTTGCCGTACAATCTACGCTACGCATCACCGAAGACTCCGAGACATCGCCCGCCTCGGCTGTCCTCTTTGCACACGGTGCGCTCTGCTCGCTCTTCGCTGGTCTGCTCTGGTTTACAAATCACTTGCCTTTTGTAGCCTTGTCGGCGTCATCCGACTTGGCCTCTTTCGCCTTCGTCTTCGGCGCCGACGCCGGTGACGTCTTGCTCTCCTTCTCGTCCGACTTCGTATCGGCACCATCCGTCGCAGCGGCAGTCGACGATTCCTTCTTCATGGTGTTGCCATCGACACTAGCGCCAGACGCAGACTCGTAGCCGAAGTAGTCCGGGGACCCGTAGCCAGGTTGGCCGTAGCCGTAGCCAAAAGACGAGTAATAGTCCGGGTAGCCATAGCTACCATAGCCACCTCCATAGCCACCGTAGCCGACGTCACCACCGTACGACGAGTAGTAGTCCGGGTAGCCGTACCCACCATAGCCCTTGCCGTATCCCTTGCCGTATCCCTTGCCATAGCCGTAGTAGTCGTCACCACAGCCCTTGCCGTATCCCTTGCCATAGCCGTAGTAGTCATCTCCGTATCCCTTGCCATAGCCATACGAGCTCTTGTCATAGCCATATCCCTTGCCATAGCTATAGCCGTCTCCGTAGCTGTAGTAGTCGTCACCACAGCCTTTGCCATAGCCCTTTCCGTAGACGGAGTAGTCGTCACCGTAGCCTTTGCCATACCCTTTGCCATAGCTGTAGTAGTCGTCGCCGTATCCCTTGCCATAGCCGTAGTAGTCGTTGCCGGATGCTTTGCCATAGTAGTCCTTGTCGTGGCCATATCCCTTGTAGTCGTGCTTGTCGTAGCCGTAGCTGTAGTCAGCACCATAGCCCTTGTAGTCCTTTTTGCCATGGTCATAGTCCTTATGCTCGTAGTGGTCGTGCCCATAGTCGTTGTGCTTGTAGGCATCGTGACCGTAGTCGTCGTGGCCGTAGTCGTCGTGACCGTAGCTATAGTCCGACGAGGACTCCGTCGCCTTGGCGTCTTCGAGCCGACGGCGATAGTGCGAGTGACCTTTGTCGTTGTCGTGGACGTGCTTCTTGTGGTGGTCGTGCTTGTGCGAATGGTGTCCGTGCTCGTGATCCTTGTAGTCGCCGAGCTGGCGACGCGAAAGAATCCCAGTCGAAGCACCACGGGCGTCGGTAGTCTGCAGAACCGAGGCGGCGACGCACAGACTGGACACGGCGAGCAGCTTGGCGTGCATCTTGAGGATCTTGATTGGAACGCGAAGGTCAATGGGGTGTCGGGGAATCGGTGGTCGGGTGGTCGGAGGTCGATCGATCGATCTTACGGCTGTTGTGTGTGTGTGTGTGTGTGTGTGTGCCGATGCAAGAAAGCTCAAAAGTGAGAGAGCAAGAAGTTGTCCCGGATGCAGCGTGTCGAGGACGTAGACTAGCAGGTAACCTCTCAGTCAAGAGACTACCTGCACTAGTAGACGATGGACACGATGCCGAACAGCAATCAGCCACCGACACCGCTCCATACATGCACCGCATTCTCTGCACGAGCAATCGGCACAATGATGCATCGGCAGAGCTCGAGGACAACATGAACGGTGGGAGTTGACGAAGAAAGGATTGCGCGCTGGTGAGGTGGTTCTGGACACACGCTATCGTCGTCAGTTCTTCTGTCAGGACCAAAGCCGACTCTCCTCTCCCTCAACTTCGGTGACCGCTCGCTTCGAGGATGCACTACGTGACACCGTTTGACCCGATCGGACCAATCTGGTTTGTTGACCGGTCGGCTGATTGACCAGTCGGCTGATTGACCAGTCAGCGGATGGTGTTTGGATAGAATGGTGGGGAACAGGACGTGCACCGCAATGCACCTGGCACAAGTCGCGATGTCCATTTCGAGCGGGCACCGATAGTCGCTGTCGTTCTTGTGACTGTGCGGGTGGTGTGGCGTGTGTGTGCTAGCCACCCTTCACGTCTCTTCACACAGACGGTGTATGTGTTGGTTGCTGTCGACGATGGTGTCCTCTGACATGCACCGTGCTGCACATACAACACACGTCGACAAGTTGACATTCGCGTGCACATCCATTGGGGTTGTATTATTACTGACGCTACTCTTGCCGTACAATCTACGCTACGCATCACCGAAGACTCCGAGACATCGCCCGCCTCGGCTGTCCTCTTTGCACACGGTGCGCTCTGCTCGCTCTTCGCTGGTCTGCTCTGGTTTACAAATCACTTGCCTTTTGTAGCCTTGTCGGCGTCATCCGACTTGGCCTCTTTCGCCTTCGTCTTCGGCGCCGACGCCGGTGACGTCTTGCTCTCCTTCTCGTCCGACTTCGTATCGGCACCATCCGTCGCAGCGGCAGTCGACGATTCCTTCTTCATGGTGTTGCCATCGACACTAGCGCCAGACGCAGACTCATAGCCGAAGTAGTCCGGGGACCCGTAGCCAGGTTGGCCGTAGCCGTAGCCAAAAGACGAGTAATAGTCCGGGTAGCCATAGCTACCATAGCCACCTCCATAGCCACCGTAGCCGACGTCACCACCGTACGACGAGTAGTAGTCTGGGTAGCCGTACCCACCATAGCCACCTTCATAGCCACCTCCATAGTCAATGTAGTCGACGTCACCACTGTTTGTTTCGACACGGTGTCACGTTCGAATATATCAAGCTGGGTACGCCTATCGCGACCTCTAACACGGAGATCTTTTACCACCATTTTCGGTACCTTCAGCGCGTTTGCTGCTGTATCTGCTACTCGCCTTGTTACCCGAGTGCCCAATTTATCAGGCACAAAGGCGCTTTTAAGTTCAGCATCTCCGCGAGTTCACCGGTGTGCCAATTGCCCCGCCCCACGTCAGTGAGTTTACTTTCAACCACTTGGGCGTTGCCGGTCGCGTGCAGCATGTCTCTGGACTGGAGGACACTTTCGTGGCGACCACGGCGAATCTGAAGACGGATGGCGACGGGGCACCCTGTCGAGTAAGGTCTTCCAGGCAACACTCGTGACAGTCGATCGGGCGATCCCACTGCGGCTCCTCTCGCTGGCGGCCAGACCGCTCGTGGCGGCGCTACTCGCGTCAGTGGTCCGCCGGCGAACAAGTGATCTGATCCTGGCGCGAACAAGAAAAAGCGTTATGTGCGTCCGCCGGTGGCGCCGTTTGGCCCAGCGTCGATACCTGCGGTGAAACCACCTAAGCATCCGCAGTTCAATAAGATTGAAGGTCAAGAAAGTCACCTCCCCAGAGTCGACGGCTACTATACCGAACACCTCTACAACCACGGTCACAGAAAACAAGAACTCGACTAACCCGACTAAGTCCACGGGTCGTCCCAAAGGCATTTCGACAACAGCCCGATCCGCACCACCGCCTTCCTCTCCTTGCAATGCGAATAGTCAGCGCACGCAGGCGATTTGTGAACTGGACCAAATACTGCGTGGTGATCATGCGGCCGGTCCCGCAGCTCCAACACCTTACCCGGGGGTCGTATCGTCACTTCTTTTTCGAAGTCACCGACTCAGACAGGGCTATAGTCGGCTCGATTACAAGTAGCGGCCACACAAAAAGAGGTCGAGGAACTTACTTGCGCAGCCGCAGAAAAGCAGCACGCGGTAGACACCAAGAAATCATGCTACTTCGAGGCTCATGCTCAGGCACTCGAAGTGGCTATTGCTACTGAGCCACAGGATAATTAATACCCTACTTATATCGACAAAGACAGTGAGAAATTGCTGAAATGATGTACGAATACCGTACTGCAGGCGCGGCGACGAACCGAGCGAACACAGATGCAACGACCGCAGCGAAAACACTTAAACCTCTGACCCGCCGGATGGTAATGGATACATTGAAACAGAAGCCTGTGAACGAAGTCAAGTTAATCGAGATGAGACCCTGCACCGCAAGTTGCCAACTGTGCTGGAGGAATGAAGCAAAGAGCGGAGTGGGTCCATGATCCACCGCTTGTTGGCTTCCTATATTCGCCGCAAACGGGGT